GGCGTTGCTTGGGTACAGTATAAATAAAGACAGAAAGAAAAGAAGGTTCCTCCTGTCAATGTTCAGGTTTGATACAACCTGTAAGACAAGTATATTTAAGTGAATATTGTACGCCAAAATGGTATTGTTTTTTTCAATTGTTTGTAATTTATGGTAATCATTGAATATGAGGTTCGTACTGACTGGTAGACTTGCCACTCAATCATTTAGTCTTACTTTCCCCGATTGAGAATTATTAACACGTCCAGTCAATTTTTTATAGCGAGTGTCTTTGTTAGGAAGTACCTAATCAGCAAATGTTAGCATGCAGTATACAAACCTATTTCTGAAGTGAACAGACGATAAACAGTAGATACCTGCTAAACAACACTACGTTTAGGATGGTGTTTTAATAGCTTAACTTGAACCGCCAGTAATGTCCAGCATTGTGGAGACTTGTCAGCGAGCACAGGCCGACAGAGCTTCTAGCAGGGAGCATTACAAGAATTAGAAGGAAAGTGTTTTGGCATTAAAAGCCAAAAACTACATTCCCATCTCACCTAATCAAATCAGCCAACAAAGGCAAGTAGGCCTTGTCGTGTGGAAGTATTTTTGCAGGAGAAAGCACACGAGTGTATAGAGAAAAAGCAGTAAAAGTCAAATCAGTCACTGTACCAAGCAACGCCCATATCTGACGAAGAGACACATGACAGGGAAGATCAAATGCAAACTGGAAAACCTGAATGGGACTCCTATTGCTAAAGATTAGGTAATCCAAGGTGAGGGCAGCTTGTTTAAACATGCACAAACATACAACTATGCATGTATGTATGCTGTATGCATTTTTTTTCACAATGCCACTACTATGGTTCATGTTTCCTCTTGCTACTGAGCTGCTGACTGAACATGCCCACCTTCCTCCAGTCCCTTTAAACATAGACTGACTGTCAGCTGACACAGCTATATATTAGCTATATTTTTTTTTTTCAATTTCAATGTTGCAAATAATTTCAAGGAAATATATATCCAAACTTCAAAGTATTTTTGGGGACCATGTCTTGAGCACTTAGTTAATGTGCGAGAATTTGGTTGAAACACATCTTAGCATAATATAAAGTAAAATAAAATATATATAATGAAGTAGATTATGGTAAACCTGTATATATCTGTACATCTGCAATGTTTCTAAACTATTGTGCAAAAAAGAGTTGTGTTTGACAGGTTAAGGGTCTCAGTCAGCGGAGGTAGGACGTACTGATGTCTCCCAAACACTTCAGGTTGGGTTCCTCAATATGTATCCTTACATACATATGTATAAAGGTATACCTAACAAAAGGTATAAAACTATGATATTGTGACAGATATGTGTTTTTTAACATAATTTGTTTATTTATTTTTATTTTTTAAAAGAATATCATTATATTGTTGTTACAATTGTTCCTTTTTATTGTTTAATCTCCTTCTTATGGCCTCTTTATTGGTCCTCTTGTGATGTGTATCACTTATGGTCATTACTGATGGATTGTATTAAAGGCTATACAGGCCCTTGAGCTACACTAACTCTTTGAATATGTGTTAGCATTTCTACTGTAGTAGTTATTCTTCATATTCTGTCTGCTGTGACCTGTCTGGACCAGTCTCTTGCTCAAAGATCACCAACTTTCACACGGCATGGTGAAGAGAAAAAACAAAATTCACAACACAAGAAGTATTTCAGCTGTTTCTGTGTGTCAGGGCATGTTTTCACCTTTCTTTTCCTAAAGCTGTTCAACATTGTGTGCAACTCATTTAAACTTTAAAGACACAGAATATATAATGATCTCTTAAGACTATTTTGTAATATATATATGTATAACAAATAATAAAATATGTATAAAATAATAATATATATATAAAATAACTACATAATGATGATAAAAGATGGTTTTTAATTGCACATTCTGACAGCGTTGATGCTTTTACTCTCTTATTTCAACACTGCAGCTCAGAATAACATGAGGCAACTTTGTGATGATAATTGGAAATTAATTAAGAGAATTAATCCACTTACTGTTCATTTTGAATTATAATTGCTGTAATATTATAAAAAATAATAATATGAACGACAGCCATCAAATAATATTAGTTGAGTAAAAAGAATATCATTTTCCTCTGAAATGCAGTATTGAAGAGGTAAAACAGAACATGAACATACTAAAAGTTATCCTTTAGTAGCAAAACCTTGATATGTCCAACTTGGATGCCCTATGATAGTTAAAACGTGAG